GTCAACGCGCGTGAGTTTAAATTACTTTATATGTCGTTTTTTTACGATTTTGAATCTATATTTCAAATCTATATTGCAATCTTAAATAGTTATGTACAGTCAGAAATGAATAGGCAACCTTGTTATTTACTTATTTACGCATACAACACTTAATTTAAACTGCGTCACTACACGACCATCCAAACACGTCTTGTTTCATTCAAATATATGTACAGCAGTAAAAGGTTAGCTATAATAGTATGAAGTTATTTCAAAAAGTTATTAATCATGTAAACCTCAAGGGAAGTACTTGAATATGTATTTAGAAAGATTCCAGCACTAGTTTTAGTCTATTGCGTAATAATAGTGTTGTATATTTCAGGATCAGGACAGAAAATTGGATTGGTATAAGACAGAACAGAATATAAAAGACATTGAAACGTGTAATTTAAAGATAACTTGTGTTTGACGTTGTCTTTTTTTGTTTTGCAGTTGAAACAGTGTATGGTGCAGAAGGTGATGACATTGTCCTCACGCCACCTCTTCAGTCTCCGTCTCCTTCCATCACAAGCATTCAATGGATACATGGAGAGGACATCGTTGCAGAGTGGTATGAAGGGCATGGAACTGAGACATATTGTCTTACCAAGTTCAAAGGTAATTTCACTTACACTAAATAAGTTTATCTACACCTGAAAACACAACAAGAACCTTAATCCAAGTGAAGGTTTTTAGGTTTGTTTTGTTTGAAGGTATTTATAATTAGACCCCTACTTTGTGCTGAATGAATGGATGACATTCTATAAAAAGGCTTTCATGGGCAGACCATTAGAATAAGAGAGGGAGATGCATCCATTTAAGTCCATTTTTTAAGTCCAGGTGTTGCTTTCATTTGTTTCCACTTATCACTGGTGTTCATTCATTATTTTTCAAATAATTTTTACTCAGCATGTTTAGCGACCCTAAAGTTTAGTTTTATTTAATGGTTTGATGATTATAGGTCGCTGCAAGCTGAATCGTTTGACCGGGGCGCTGACAATCACAGGACTGACTAAAACCGACAGTGGAATCTGCAAACCTGAGATCAACAACAAATACCTCGACTCAACTCATCTCATCGTCATCTGTGGGTGACTGAACTTTAAATTAATTTTGGTCAGTAAAGAAGTTTTTATATTTTCAGACTGAGAGCAACAAGGTCTGTTTTCTTTGTTCTTTGTTGTATCAGCTCATGTCCCTAAACCCTCCATCTCCAAATCATGTAACACTGAGATGACCGCCTGTAATCTGACCTGTGAAGGCAACACGATAGAATCAGAACCCGTCGACTGTAAGTGGCTTCTAGATGATGCAGAGGGACCTTCAGGCAAGGTGTTGACCATAACAAAGGTATGAAAAACCAACAACACTCCAGTCAGCCTGAGCCGATGAGTGGGATCACTCCAAATCCATCATTCATGACCTTTTTTTAACTATTCAGTTTTATGTCCTGAAAATCTGTGTTCGTGATTGTCTTTCACTCAATTTCTAGGAGATGAAGGAGCAGAGTTACCGTTGTATATTTGTCAACCCAGTCGGCAACAAAACCAGTGATATCATGACAAACCCCTTACTCAAAGGTGAGCTGCCACACCAACAAATATCAACCTCATTTACACCGTTTATATGGTTTTATAGCTCTTTTTTTTCCCTCTCATGTCTCCAAAATTGAGGAAGTAGAAAATATATTATTTAACATTTAGGTGTCGCGAAAATGTTTGTGCTTTTTATATCTGCTGTCAGTTTACAAACAGCTTTTATATCCAACTTAATTTCACTCAGCTGACTGTGTTTCAGTCAGGAAAGTGTGTGTGTGTGTGTGTGTGCGTGCGTGCGTGCGACTGAGGCTGGTGACTCGCAGTCTCGCTCCTTCACATTCAGTCAGTGTTTAACTGAACGAGAGCTCCGCCTCCGAGTCTCTCTCTCCCTCTCAGTCAGTCAGTCAGTGATTTGTGTACTGAACGTAATGAACAGAACGGTCGGGGAAAATAAATGTGATTGTTTTAGCAGCTTTCAGTTTGTAAACTGTAACTTTATCCAACTAAATTCTCAGCTCATTGGTTTATTATTCACCACCGGCTGTTCTCAGTACGATCGCGAGCAGAACTAAACGTTCGGCCGTGTTTCAGTTTATTAAATTCTGATTCACAGACAGAGCTGCAGAGAAGTACTGAACGATTCAGTGAACGAATCATTTGAACGAATCACTTTACTGAACTGATTCTACTGATTCAGTACACTGAAAAGAACTGCTTTTCACATCACTAGTCTGCTTAGGTGTAACCGGAAATGGCTGGGTTAGGGTTACATTTAGGTTAAACTTAGTTTCGTTTTCAACACTTGGGTTGGACGTCGTCGCTTCTTCGTGGTTTAGATACTATTTGTGAAATTAAAAGTTGTAAGATACTCAAAACATTAAATATTAGCGTTGACGCGACTTATTATTCTGTTTTAATTACCTGAAGAGAAGATGCAACAACTGCACGTGTTGGTTTTTTCTCTCTTCCTGTTTTGGATTTCGCACCCAGTCAACGCGCGTGAGTTTAAATTACTTTATATGTCGTTTTTTTACGATTTTGAATCTATATTTCAAATCTATATTGCAATCTTTAATAGTTATGTACAGTCAGAAATGAATAGGCAACCTTGTTATTTACTTATTTACGCATACAACACTTAATTTAAACTGCGTCACTACACGACGATCCAAACGCGTCTTGTTTCAGTAAAAGGTTAGCTATGAAGTTATTTCAAAAAGTTATTAATCATGTAAACCTCAAGGGAAGTACTTGAATATGTATTTAGAAAGATTCCAGCACTAGTTTTAGTCTATTGCGTAATAATAGTGTTGTATATTTCAGGATCAGGACAGAAAATTGGATTGGTATAAGACAGAACAGAATATAAAAGACATTGAAACGTGTAATTTAAAGATAACTTGTGTTTGACGTTGTCTTTTTTTGTTTTGCAGTTGAAACAGTGTATGGTGCAGAAGGTGGTGACATTGTCCTCACGCCACCTCTTCAGTCTCCGTCTCCTCCCATCACAAGCATTCAATGGAAACATGGAGAGGACATCATTGCAGAGTGGTATCAAGGGCATGGAAATGAGACAAATTGTCTTAAGTTCAAAGGTAATTTCACTTACACTAAATAAGTTTATCTACACCTGAAAACACAACAAGAACCTTAATCCAAGTGAAGGTTTTTAGGTTTGTTTTGTTTGAAGGTATTTATAATTAGACCCCTACTTTGTGCTGAATGAATGGATGACATTCTATAAAAAGGCTTTCATGGGCAGACCATTAGAATAAGAGGGGGGAGATGCATCCATTTAAGTCCATTTTTTAAGTCCAGGTGCTGCTTTCATTTGTTTCCACTTATCACTGGTGTACATTCATTATGTTTCAAATTATTTTTACTCAGCATGTTTAGCGACCCTAAAGTTTAGTTTTATTTAATGGTTTGATGATTATAGGTCGCTGCAAGCTGAATCGTTCGACCGGGGCGCTGACAATCACAGGACTGACTAAAACCGACAGTGGAATCTGCAAACCTGAGATCAACAACAAATACCCCGACTCAACTCATCTCATCGTCATCTGTGGGTGACTGAACTTTAAATTAATTTTGGTCAGTAAAGAAGTTTTTATATTTTCAGACTGAGAGCAACAAGGTCTGTTTTCTTTGTTCTTTGTTGTATCAGCTCGTGTCCCTAAACCCTCCGTCTCCAAATCATGTAACACTGAGATGACCGCCTGTAATCTGACCTGTGAAGGCAACACGATAGAATCAGAACCCGTCGACTGTAAGTGGCTTCTAGATGAAGCAGAGGGACCTTCAGGCAAGGTGTTGACCATAACAAAGGTATGAAAAACCAACAACACTCCAGTCAGCCTGAGCCGATGAGTGGGATCACTCCAAATCCATCATTCATGACCTTTTTTTAACTATTCAGTTTTATGTCCTGAAAATCTGTGTTCATGATTATCTTTCACTCAATTTCTAGGAGATGAAGGAGCAGAGTTACCGTTGTGTATTTGTCAACCCAGTCGACAACAAAACCAGTGATATCATGACAAACCCCTTACTCAAAGGTGAGCTGCCACACCAACAAATATCAACCTCATTTACACCGTTTATATGGTTTTATAGCTTTTTTAAACATCACTCTGCATTATCTAACAGCATACACATACATTTCATGTTTTATTTATTCATTCTTCTTTTTTTAGCAGAAAATGTCCACTTGGTAAGAAACCGCTGGCTAACAGCAGCGGCAGTAGGGGTTCTTGGGTTAATTGGGGGTTGCAGCATATCTCATCTACAAATGCAGAACTGGTAAGAAGCCAGATTATATTGTGTGTATTTCAAATATTTTCAGTAATGTTGTATTTCTCTCGTCAGTTATGTGACATCCGTCTTTATTTAAGGAGTTCCAGTGGATTCTTTCTGCTTTCACTTCATAAAATAGGCGGGAAAACGCTTAACAAACATCTTTAGTAATGAATAATGATGGATTTATATTTGTTTATCTTGAATACAGGAACAGAGATAACCAACAAGATATTCAATCTGTTATCCACATGAATCATTTTATTTTCTTCTCAGCTGTGCTCTGTGAAATATAAATATATATATATATCACATACAAACATAGTAGCAGTATACCAGTCTGTGAAGACAGTCGGAATGAGATTTGATCCAATACATGAGGAGATACAAGAAATAAGTCCAAGACGAGTCGACAGTGACACAAAATTCAAAGTCTCCTTTTTAGATCTTTTTATTCTTAGCTTTAAAAAAACATCATTTATACATCATTGTAAAATGCAGATGAACTATTTGTGGTTATTAACTGATGAACTAGGTGATGGTGTTACTACAATACTTTTGACTTGTAACAGGATTTCTTTGATGAATTGTTTGAACAGAAGTAAAGTGATATCATGTTCAATGATTCCTTTGTGTTTTATTTGATAGGTTCATATAAATCCGTACCCACCAAGGAAGAAGACAACAACGTTGGTGAGTCAAATGTGAAAGATATTAAAAACTGTGACAGTCGGATCTTTGAACATTTCTACTACTACAACCTGCATTTTGTGAGAGATGTTTTCTTACATTTATTTTGTATTTGTTGTTTCAGAGGTCCATGTACCACCAACCACTCAGGACTCAGATTCTCTCTGCAATGGATCTGGTGTGTAAACGTTGTTTAACAAAATGTATAAGGTTTTAAAACTGTTGTAGAAAGAGACGCATAGGAACAGAAAAGCTTTGTTTATCCTTTAAACTAGAGCTTTGAACTAGAGCTTTCTGTCACGGAGAAATTGTCTTTATCATTTATTTTATTTAAATTGTTTTTAACAGTGATCCCAGAGGAGCAAAGGGCATCCAACGAGCCTTCAGATTCTATTCCGCTCCAAAGTGTCTGCAATGGAGCTGGTGAGTGAAATAATACTATAAAGATAAAGATAAACTTTATTGATCCCCCGTGGGGGAAATTTGTGCATTACAGCAGCTCCAGAAAACAGGAGATGGGAATATACTTATAAAAAATAAAAATAGAAGTTAAAAACAGATCAAACATATTTACATCATTTAAATAAAAAAATACAATAATGTAAAGAAATACAATAATGTACTATAGATAATACTGAATATAAGAACAGTACCTCAGTATATAGTTCAGGTACCTGAACTCTAGTATTTCCTCTAGAGGTTTTTGGGGTTGCAGCATATCTCATTGACAAACGCAGAACTGGTAAGAAGCCAGATTATATTGTGTGTATTTCAAATATTTTCAGTAATGTTGTATTTCTCTCGTCAGTTATGTGACATCCGTCTTTATTTAAGGAGTTCCAGTGGATTCTTTCTGCTTTCACTTCATAAAATAGGCGGGAAAACGCTTAACAAACATCTTTAGTAATGAATAATGATGGATTTATATTTGTTTATCTTGAATACAGGAACAGAGATAACCAACAAGATATTCAATCTGTTATCCACATGAATCATTTTATTTTCTTCTCAGCTGTGCTCTGTGAAATATAAATATATATATATATCACATACAAACATAGTAGCAGTATACCAGTCTGTGAAGACAGTCGGAATGAGATTTGATCCAATACATGAGGAGATACAAGAAATAAGTCCAAGACGAGTCGACAGTGACACAAAATTCAAAGTCTCCTTTTTAGATCTTTTTATTCTTAGCTTTAAAAAAACATCATTTATACATCATTGTAAAATGCAGATGAACTATTTGTGGTTATTAACTGGTGAACTAGGTGATGGTGTTACTACAATACTTTTGACTTAAAACAGGATTTCTTTGATGAATTGTTTGAACAGAAGTAAAGTGATATCATGTTCAATGATTCCTTTGTGTTTTATTTGATAGGTTCATATAAATCCGTACCCACCAAGGAAGAAGACAACAACGTTATAGGTGAGTCAAATGTGAAAGATATTAAAAACTGTGACAGTCGGATCTTTGAACATTTCTACTACTACAACCTGCATTTTGTGAGAGATGTTTTCTTACATTTATTTTGTATTTGTTGTTTCAGAGGTCCATGTACCACCAACCACTCAGGACTCAGATTCTCTCTGCAATGGATCTGGTGTGTAAACGTTGTTTAACAAAATGTATAAGGTTTTAAAACTGTTGTAGAAAGAGACGCATAGGAACAGAAAAGCTTTGTTTATCCTTTAAACTAGAGCTTTGAACTAGAGCTTTCTGTCACAGAGAAATTGTCTTTATCATTTATTTTATTTAAATTGTTTTTAACAGTGATCCCAGAGGAGCAAAGGGCATCCAACGAGCCTTCAGATTCTATTCCGCTCCAAAATGTCTGCAATGGAGCTGGTGAGTGAAATAATACTATAGATAATACTGAATATAAGAACAGTACCTCAGTATATATTTCAGGTACCTGAACTCTAGTATTTCCTCTAGAGCTACAGTTACTCCTCACACGTATTTGATTGTTGTCTCAACTCAAAGGAAAGGCATCAGAGATTTCATCCAACAATGACCTGACGACTTCTACATCCCCAGAGGCCGGCAAGGAAGCTGGTGAGATAAATCACATCTAATAGGATAAAACACTGTCTTGATATTGTATCCATATAAAATGAACATGTTTTATGTTGTATCAGATATCACATCGGAGATGGGTCCAGAATCCCCCCAGGATTCAATCACTCCAGAGACCGGCAAGGAAACTGGTGTGTTAAACTGTATTTTAACTTATAGGATCAAACGAGTCAAACCATTTCTCCCTTAAAATTCAAATACTTCTATGTATCAATGAACAGAGATCACATCTGATGTGGTTGAGAAGTCTGACGAGAACTCAACGACTCCTGCTTCCCCCGCCAGCAGCCAGGAAACAGGCGAGTCCAATTTAAACACACTCCATGTCCGATCAACATACTATTTTTTTCTTACTCTTATCTTAGGGTATATTTTAAGATTATGTTTGTATTTATATCAAATGTGTTCCCCACTTAATTAATTTAGTTTTTGCAACAAACAACTTGATTCCATTTTTATAGGACTTCAGCACAGAAACAGCATCAGCAGCTTTACATTCACATTTTTCAAAATGAAGCCAAGAGCAAGGTGTATTTACTCTTGCACACACAGCAAATTTATGAACAAATGAAAAATAACATACATTTTTAGTATTATAATATATAATTATGTGTAATTATAATAATTACTTGGGCGGCCCGCCTAAGTCTGTCTTCATCTTGCTTATAATAGTTGTAAATACATAGTACTTTTATCTTTATTTGTATTTATTCCTATATATTTTTATTTTCCTGTTGTCTTTTACTGCTGCAGCACTTGAATTTCCCCACTGCGGATCAATAAAGGATTATATTATCTTATCATGTATATGTAGGAAACACTGAGTTTAACACTATGTCGTACATAACCCCTAAAATAAGCTTTATTTGATCTATAATCAATAAAATAGAATAAAAACAACACTGTGTCTCTATCATCTGATAATCCTACGTTACAGTATTATTTGTCTGTTTGTATTTACATACATCACTAGAAAGTTGGATTTATTTAACAGCTGTGTTGGAGTCCCATGTTGGACACATTTGGCACATTTAAATAAGAACTAACTAACATCGGGCATTTAGGTTTTTATTTGGTGTGATCTCTATTTAGTTTAAAGCACAAACGAGAGATGTATGAAAAGAGAAAGAGACCAGTGTTTACTGCATCTGTTCAGTTTTTTTATTGAGGTTAGAAGAAAAAAATCAGACTGTTCTGCCTTTAGATGTGATTTTTTTTTTTTTCATCCTTTGACAGGTGACCTGGCAACGAAGCCACCCGACCAAGAACAAACCAACCAAGAGCCACCAGCAGCTGAACAGGAAGCAGATGATGCAGGAGATCTCGACGAACACTAAAGTATTTTCAGTTCTTTTGTTCTGTAACTAAAATAATAAGAGTCTGCTCTATGTCAAGATGTTACAGTCAAGACGTGTGAATGTGTAGACAGATGACTACTTCTGCAAGACCAAGTTTCAGGATGTTGTTCTTTTTATCTCTGATGTTTCATTAGTACTTCATGCAGTGTGTCTGTAAAGTCTTCCTGTTCAGGGATCACAACGATGAAGGAGGGACATGTAAACAAATAGCTGCTGTTTGGTCACACCTTCAACATTTCAAAGTCACTTTATGTGTTTCAGGAGCACAGAGTCATAGGAGTGTCCTGCTGCTCTAGTCCAGTGCAACATGATTGTAAGAGTGTGGTCAAAATGTAGTTATCAGATGTAGGGTAGTTGTTCATATGAAGAAGGCAAAGGGTGACACAAAGTACTTTGAAAGGTCTTAGAACACATCTGCCACTGTTTCAAGACAAACACATTCAATAAGTGACCTTTGTGTTGAGCTGAAACATCAAGTTATTTATAAATCTTGCACACTTCCACTTCTTCCTCTTTTGGGATAAAAAAGACTTGTGCTCCTTCTAACGCAAACCTCACAGGCAGTGATCTGCTCTTTATGCAAACTGACTCGTTCAAATATCAACATCATGCAGGGCTTTCTGACAGCTGTTTTTAACATGATGAGTGAATATATTTTCTTCTTTTAGTAGTTTATGGGACGTTAGCCCTCTGTACATAGACCTCACGAGTCACGACATAACTGCTAGGCTATCAGTGCTCCTTACAACAGATTATCATCAGCAAAAAACATCTGCAGGTTTTATTCCAACTGATCTGACTCCTGAAGTTACTCATTTTAAATCATCCTCAGTGAGTGTTTTGGTCAGATTGTGGCTGAAACAAAGAAAAGGGACTGTTTTGATATCTTTGTGATTCCTTTAAATTTTGATATCACCACCAAACCTCAACATTTCATAGCATTTATTAACTGCCTTTTTACAATGTAGAACATGAATTTTGAACAACGTGCTTATTTTTGTAGCAACAGAAACAAGCTCCAGGTGCTTCGTCCCTTAAAGTGACTGTTTCTAAACTTGAATGGTGCAAAAAAGAACTGAGACAAACAATCAGCCTCCTCCGAGGGCGCAGTGTAAATCAGATCCCTGTTACAACTTGAATATTTATCAGGTCTTAGTCAATGTTTTATTTTGCACCAAAGGCCAACACCTTAAGTCACTTTGAAAAGCCAAAGCCCTTTTGAATCTTTAGTATGTATCTGCAGCTGCATTTGTCATTTAAACTTCAGAAAAACAAAACAAAAACAGATTTTCAAAAGTCTTAAATAGCATCTATTTTTCCACCGCAGGAACATTATTATTGGCAGAGTATTCCAGAGTTTGTTGCACTTACAGGCATTTAATAATGTAAAATATATATATATATATTGATGGATTTTGTTTTTAGATTTTGTAAGGTAAACACTTTTTAGATGCTAGCATGCCAAAAAGAAGAATTGTATATTTTTGAGGTAAAGAAATTAAATATCTGTGTTCCACGAGGGAGGCATTTTAGTCGCCACAACAGCGTGACATATTTTCATAAAGGGAAGAAGACAACCTATTTAAATTATAAAAGATCATTCATGTATTTTCTGCTTCCAAAAAATGTATTGCAAAGTGAAAACATGCTACCCCCAGCTGTATTTCCCCACAGTATTTATCTTCTATCTGCTGCTGTAGTTTCACTGTTGACCACTAGAGGGCATCATACAGCTACTATGAAAAAACTGTCAGTTCTTTTTTATGGACTGCTGGTAAAGATGGCCGACACACTGAATGTTTAATGTTTCCTTTTTTTAATCCCTTCATTAACATGAATCAGTTTGGTGTTTTTCTACCACACCTGCTTTAAATTAGTGAAACAGAAAAATCATGGAAACGATTGTTCAATCTCTCATCTCTCATCAACTGGAAAGAAATACTTCCTATGTTTTTCTATGATGTAGAAGTCTACTAACACAGTTAATAATAATGTGCCATCTTTATAGACAGTCTATAAGGCAATTCCATGAATTGAATGTAAATAGTTTTTTTTTATGTTTTTAGCTACTGAGGTTTCATTGGTAGAATGAGGATTGTTTGCTTTTCTCTTTTCTTTAAATTATGATCCTGTCTTGTATATATTGAGTTAGCATATTTAAGTCTTTGTAGATGGTTACTAATTTATGTTTGAGATCTGTTACAATGTGATCTGTTACAATGTGTCCCAAGTCCAAACTGAACACTATTTCTATTCAGTATGTTTTAAATACTGTTTTTCAACGATTTAGCAATAAAACACACCACTTTACAATAACATGTGCAACGCCAGGCTTCCAGAAAGTACTCTAACAGAGCGATGGATTCATCATGTTTGTTTTTAACACTTTTTAAATTTATTATTTCCCCACATGAGCAGCTTCTGCAGCTTCTTTGTGACCTTTTCTTTGTCAAAAACACTCCAAATTAAACCCTTTTTAAAACGGCTGCAGACTTAATTGAGGTGACGTTTTTAGATTCTTGAACAAACTTTGCAGAAAACCTGTGCTGTATGGATTTGGGACTTGGAGAATAATGTGTGTGATCTAAAGTGTAACAGTGCTTGAAAACAACACTTTGGTAAATAAAGCACAAAGCGTGTTGTTGATTTGTTGCCATAGCTGAGATTATATCACGACTGAAGTGACACCACACACAGGTGCCTCGTGTTATCAAACTGTGACTAAGTACAGTGTCATATATCAGCATGAAGCTGTTGTCTGAAGGTTTCATGCTGCAGCTACAGTCGTGTTTGTTTGCACTGAAACTCTGAGAAATCAATTATCAGTATCTCAAGTGTTGTAGATTGTTTGAAAGACTGAATGTGCAAAATGTTTGTTAAAACATTTTCTTGCAGTGTATTACATTCCAAACAGCTAGATTTATTTTTATGAATAAATCAAAATTGAGATCAAAAGAGGAAAT